CTAGTGTCAATAGTACAACGACATGTAAATTTCTCTTTACGTGACGTTGTATTATTGGCACAATGTTGACATCACGATGGCAATGTATCTGTGCTATGTAATTTGCTCTCCACCTTTAGGATTCAAAATGAAAATAAGTATCATATATTTTAATCACTTCATCACAATGCAAACTAGACACAAGACTAGTTCTGGAAAATTTTACTTCTCAGTAGATAACCTGTTAAATTGGCTGTATTTTCCTAAATGTGCAACGGGATAGCAGTGATGATGTAATTTCTCTACTGTGAGCCCATGTGAATAATGTAATGAACCTCTCTCTCTCTCTTAAGAGTTTCTCTGCATGTTGGTCGTTGAACTTTGGGCCCTCTCTTTTGGTAGAAGGTATAAATGGAAAAGATTCCATGGAGTTTTCATATTTTCCTGGAGAACCAAATAATCTAAAACGTCACTTGTTTGATTCTCCCAACTCTTTCTACACTTCTCATCTGTCAATTACCGTTCATGAGAAGGACATTATTAAATATGAGGTCATGTATATATGATGGATGATGACAATGGCTAATTAATATGCCCAGCACAGCTTGCTTCAGAATTCAGATGGGCATGCAGTAAAATAAATATTACACTGATTAATCTCTACCCGTGAGAAGATTAATACCTTATAACTTTAACCAGGGAAGATAGAATCCAAAGAGGTTAATTGCCAGAATAAGAAGTCGAATCTGGAACTGGGAAAAAGATGGAAGCTTCATACCTAGGGTTATAACTTATAAGTGTAGAGGACACCAAAATTTCTACAGTAGTGGTTGGATGAATCTTCTCATATAATAAAAAAGACAAAAATGATGACTGAATGTACAAAACTACTACTGATATACCTGACACGATATGAATAATGCAAGCTAAGTTTACAACAAAAAATATTAACTTGAAAGTGGGAATCATATTTGCATTTCGTCCAATATTGGAAACCAACCCCAATTCATCCTTTCACATGTATCTGGAAATTTACTTCCAACTTGAAATCAAATTAAAATTATCAGCATAAGATAGTGAATGCTAGGGTGTCACATAACTCAAAATGATATTGATGATGTTCGTATGTCTCTTAACTTGTTCATATCAAAATTTCAGATTTTTATATCAAACGGTTTATTTATGGTAATGAAATAAAGGAGCAGCGCGCAGTGTTGTCAAAGTGACGTTCTGGGCTTCTTTGGGCTTTTTGGAGTTCAAGATTGTGTCTTTTGGGTTCGAGGCCTTGTGCAATTATGTTCGGGACATCTCAAGCTTTAATTCTATCATTTTGGGCCTGTTTTGGAGCCCTGAAAATCCAAAAACGTGGCTGATTTGTGACTGGGCGAATTTTCCATATTTGTTTAGGATTATGTTTCCTAATTTTCTTTTACGTGATTATGTATCCTAGTTTTTAGAAGACATTTTCTAGGTAGGGTTTTATTTTGTAGTAGTGTATCCTAGTTTTTAGAAGACATTTTCTAGGTAGGGTTTTATTTTGTAGTAGTATAAATAAGGCTATTTAGTCTTTAGGGAGAAGAAGAGGAGAACGCACACACTATTTTGGAGAATTTCAGACTTTTTACTTACAGGGTGTTTTCTATCATATTTTTAATAATATTTTATTTTATGATTGTTTGTAACTAATTTCGTTTGCTAGGACGAGGCCACAAGCCTTAACAAGAATATGTAGTTTTGTTTCAGTTTGCTTATGATATTATGCATGCAAGTTTTGAATTGTTAATCATTGTTTAAAACTATTTAATTGTCTTGATGATTGGCCACCATTAGGATATTTAGAAAAGTAATTTGATGCAATTTTGACGGATGACTGTCCTTGGAATTGACTAAGGCTTCTTGTGGTTAATATGTGTAACTTCTTATGATGGACGATACGTCTTAAGGGTTATATGATTTTTCAAAAGGTTTTCACAAAACTTAATGAGTCTTGCATGTTCACATTTGATTTAGACGTCACGGACGGATTGCATCTTAGATATACGTTCTATGTTGAAGGTTCCAAGTAGGATATATATATATATATATTAGGAAAACCTAACATTCAAATATGCATGTGTAAGTCATAAGTAATTAGAAGAACTACATAAGATTGTTAAGGTGACGGCGGAACCCTACTACTCAAATAAAATTTTAAACTATTTTCTTTTGTTTTATTTACTTTGCCAATTTATTTAATTGTTTTTAATTAAATTCGTTTTTAATATTTTAAGTCATACAATCTTTTTTTTTTTTTTTCAAACTTCGCTTTAAATAATTAATTAAGATTTAGTTTAACATAAATTATTCATCAATCCCTGTGAAGAACAACCTCGCTAGAGCCATCTATACTACGATTACCTTATATTCTTGCAAGTATTTTAAAAGATTTTATCTCTACTTTTACAAGTGATAAAAATCCTATCAGATATTCCATGCCCAACAATTATACGGATCCTACATGCAATTAATTAAGATGAAAATGTATCAGTATGACAAATGAATCATGCCGTAACGTGTTCAAACACAAACAAATGTGTGATAGACAGGGGTGGAGCTATCCATAGGCCTGAAGATGCTTTGGCCCCTTCTTTATCTCAGCACCGTTATAACATTATGGAGTAATAGCGATAGATTGGGAGCAAAATCCTATAATTTAAAGTTTGTGTCCACCATATTATTTTTTTCTCAATCAAAATAAAATTCATTAAAATAGAAAGTTAATCCAAAGATAAGGACCATCCAAAAAAGAGTTTAAAATAGTCAAGCAAAATTCAACTTTATAGAAATAAATTACAATGAAATAGGCCCAAAAGAGGCAACCCATATTAACACAAAAGCAAAAAAACCCTAGAACTAAAAATAGCAAACAACCACACCACCACCTAGAAGACAGACGAACCAACAAACCAAATGGATCAACGAAAAATGGGGTAGACTAGTGCAAAAAGCACTTTAAAATCTACTAACCACCGAGGAGTGCTGCTAGAGAAGATCCATAAAGGAAACATCCAAAGAGTTTAATAGCTGAGGTAGATGATATAGGATATGTGGTGAGGAACGATATTTGGAGAGGAAAATGGCAAATCTGAGACAAACTCAAGGTAGACTGAAACAAAGCCCAGGCAACACTGAGACAGAAGCTCAAACCAAATACAACCGAGAAAAATAGACAAAGCAAGTTAAAGAAAAAGGAGGAAAAGGTTGGGGAAAGAGAGAAGAGGATTGAGAATTGAAAGGATTTGGCTGCCTCCAACCCTAGCCAAAGAGGGGTCGGCGGCTAAAAAGAAGTGTTTTTAGCATTGGTCAAGAGAGATGAGAGCTTTTAGGAAAAAAATAAGATAGACTTGAGATATCATCATCTTGGTTCTTAAACAAATCGTAGTTTTATAAGTGGTTCTAATACTAAAAGTTCGTAAATTGATTTCCTTGTATTTAGCAAAACATATACCTTCAGTTCTTCAGTAAAAAATTTCATCAATTGGATTACATGGCATGTCATAAAACCAACAATTGATTCTTGAATTCTAACCATTGCTTAGATTTGATCTCTTAACTTTCACTATTCAGGATTGGACATGTGAGACCAAATGGTGCGCGTTTCATTAAATTCAGAGACTTTAGCCAACGATTGTAAACTAGAGCGGAAGTTCATACAGACTGATTTTAAATTTTTGATGATAAAAACAAAAGCTGGCAAGAAATGACCTCTCTCGTTTCTTGTAAATAAATCAATGTGCTAAACCTAAAGACAACAAGAGCAGAGCCCCCAATTACTGAGAAATTGCAAGGAAACAAGCTCGACAGCAGAGGCAACAAAGCAGTAAGCCTACAAGACTAAAAGCAAACAAACAGCCTAGCCTGCAGAGATTCAGAGAAGTCTGGACGCAGAGCCAGGAATAATTAGCACTTTAACCGTGCAGATTATGATTGACGAGTGACAACCCATCTTTGTTTACTTTTACCTTGTCTGTTAGATTAGCTAGCAGTTTAGCGTTCAACAGAAACTAGTATGTAAAACTTCTTTCGTTTTCGTTTGCCTGCTGACCGCATTATTTGTCATTTCCCAACATGTTTAACCGTTTCACGAAAGACACCCAAATAAAACCAATTATAAACCTTTAATAAATAAAATATAAATATAAATACACTAAACCGACAATAAAGTGTATACATTGATACAAACTTGAACTATATTATTGCTATTTTATTGTGAGGTTTAGCCAACTCCTTCAATCCATATGTGTAGATAATATCATTTGTAAAAAAATTAAAACAATAATGATAATAATAACTGTCTCTCTTAATCCATTTTTTATAGGGCACTTTAATGAAAAGCTCTCGATACTGTTTACTTTAACGAAGAACTATATTTTTATACTAAAAAGTCAATCCTGATACTATTCACTTTACCTTTTATTTTGTCTTTGTCATTAAAACTCAAAGTTTTCAAACTTTTTTCATTAGTTTTTCTTTTTTTTATAAGTTTGTACCTAGTTCTACTGGATATTTAGTGGTTTTCTATATTTAACTTTTAGCCACTACTAGCAACAAGTTATAACCGTACTCATCTCCTCACCTCCTGTAAGGGAAAGCATCAAGTTCGACACGCATGGGTGACGAGTTTGAAATCTAGTTGTTATGGATTATCAATTGTGCATCTTCACCCAAATCCCCATCCCTCCCCCATCTTAGAGTAGAGAATATTATTTCAAGAGATTGTGGTTGGAAATCTTTCTTCACCATTCTAAGATATAGTGTGCAATGATGCACCAGAACCTTTTAGTAAATTCATATTAGGCAATAAATATTACTTTATTTGGAGATGAGAACAGCTTATTGGGTTGAGAAGTAACTGGTGACTTGCAGAAGCAATTGCAGGTAGTAATAACTTGCAATTCTTCTCAATCATGCTGAGAGATTACTTGCCAAGAAAACTGCCACTGGTAGTTTTGAGAAAGCATTTTTGAAGCCTGACTCAAAAATTTCCTAGATGTAAATTTAGATTCAATAACTAACATTTCTTTACAAAGCCTACAACTGATATACTTCCCCGTAAGTGGGTCTACATCTATGATCAAGGACTGATCTAAACTGAGAAATACCCTTTCTATTCTTCCCTCGCGCTGCTAGTTGAACCGGAAGACCTTGAACCATGGATAAACGGTTTGTATGCGAGGAAGGAAAATTAACAGCGAACAATCATCTTGTGGTTGCAGCGTCTTTTCTGGCTAATCTCGATTCAGTGACCAAACCATGGACCCTCTTCCACTTCTAACAATAAAACATTACTCTCTTTACATTCTCCTTCAAGGCTGGTAATGGTCGGACTCCAGACTCTCCAGTAGCGCGTGTACCCTTAGCAGTGTGACCAGTAGAACCATTCTCTTGGATATCTGGCTCCAGATAGAATCGAGCACGGAAAGCAGCCAAATGTGCATAATATGCAGGAGGTACTGCAAAAGGATATAGCATATAATTCAATAATTTTTTTGCAGGCAGTATCCTTGTCTATCATGGCTTTGTTACAGAACTGATTATGAATGAGCAGAAAATTATCCGGCAACGTTACAACGATGAACAATGGCTTACCAACAGAGACGGAGCGTGTGCACCTTGCATATGTGTAACAAAGGTTGTTTGTCAATGACTGGATTCCATCAGCAGTAAAGTTATTCTCATCCCAGAGAACATGGTAGTGAGCTGGGCGACTTGTCCCCTGTCATATAAGATAAATATCCATACATTGAACTATCAAAAGACAATAAGAGAATACAAAGCAAAATAAATGAAAATTGCAATTAAACTTTTGTTTAAAAGACCACTAGCACGTTATAGCCATACATTATTTGAAAACTTAAGGCCATCACAAAAGGCAAATTTTTTGGAACATGATTGTTTCAGATTTTATGGAATATGGTTTCAATGAGATTCCAGGGCAGAACTGCAGAGATAAGAAGTGAATACACTACCTGAATACCAGCATGACTGCAGAGATAAAAATCATGTTCGGTTGGATGACAAATCTTGGTATCAACCACGGTGCCTGAAAACAGTAAAACGATAAACATTAGTGCACAAAACACTCTGTATTAGTCAATAAGTAAGGTGCAACATGACTGAAAGATGCAAGTTTTCAAGATAGGTTAATTTTACCAGGTAATATGTTCCCACTCTTGTCTATGCTGCTCCTGTCCCTATGGTTATTAGCAAATAATCGTGTGTGATGCCGTTTTTGAACTACAATGAAAGTCACTGGTGGTTGATAGTTTGGTTCCAGAGAAGCACACGCCTGTACAAAAATTACTTGTCAACGTAATTTCCACCTTCATCTCCAATATACTGATACCAGCAAAAATGAAACAAAAAATATCAATTCTCACCTTCCGGATTGCATCAAGCTCATATAGTAAGACTTGATAAAATTGACCTTCACTTACGCCATCCCTGCTCAGAATCATCTCCATTAAATTTAAGAACACAGCAAAGAATGAAAAACAATGCACAGACAAATAATGAGTTGACACGAAGGAAATCTAGTTGATGGACAATCAAACTGCTCATTATAACCACAAAGTGCCAAATCAAATTACGTTGCATTCAATGGCACTAGAAATACAAACATTTACCTGTAAAATATAATCCTTAGTGGCTTCTGTCCTGTTGCTTTCCTAAAGGAAACCAGAAGATCCCTGGACAAAACAGAGTAATATTAAAGATGGAAGATTAGAACCTAAGCATTGAAAGCATTATATGCAAGCAGAATATGAAGATCCAAGGACCAAATTGAGTTTCCATTAGTAGGGGCAGAATGCACTCAAGATTAACAAAAGAACTGCTTGTTAAGAGTTCTCATACCGGATCATGCCACCGCTGACTGTGCCACGAACAGGGTCTTGCCATGTTTTATACAAATCTTGTATGAGTTCTTGTCTGTGAGCTTGAGCACAAACTAATCCAGCATACTTGGTGACTTCAGGCCAGTCCTGGGAAGCTACGACCTGCATAGTACAAACACCATTAGCAACGAAGGTTTCAACACATACTGCAGAAAGAAGTTAAAGGTAATAAGGGATTTTACAGCAGCAATTGAGGGACTGGAATCTTCTCCATTTTCAGGGTGAGTCACATCGGCTCCGAAGATTATGGTTGGAATATCACTGACCAAAGGTATCCTGCAGCTGATAGCATCCAAAAGAACTGTGTTTCTGCCACCCATCTGCACTATGCATGGGTCAAAAAAGCATCAGGATCTCGAAATTATTGGGGCCGAAAATGATAGTAACCATTACAAAAAGGAGAAAAGGTTTGCAATGACCGCAAAAGAGGCAATTATCTTTACCGTAAATAAAGAAAAAGGATGTCATCATTCTCAACAACTTGTCTCAAGTCATTTGTCGTAAAATCAGTTTATTCACAGTGCTTGTAGTATTATGCAAGACTCTGGAATTATACACACCTTAACATTTATCTTTAGGGAGACATTAGCCAAGTACTGTTTGCTGATCTTGAAAACATACTTTGTGAGACAGCATTGTGATATTAAACCGAGATCTGTTTCACATATTCGCTTGATATCACCTAAAACAGCAGAATCAGGTTAGAACTAAATATACAATTCCAGATCAAATTGAAAGTGTAAAGGTTATTTTTTATTTTATCAAGGTCAAAGATTAACGCAATACTCTTATTGAAATCAATGCCACATATTACATACCATACAGGGACCCGTTGTTGTCAGGCAAAATGGCTAACAAGAGCTCTAAATCTTTTCCTTTGGTCTTGCTCATGGATGCATGATAAACATGCTTCAAAGCTTTCTCTACTTGCTCAGGCCTAGCATTGTGGATTGGAATTACAGGTTCTGGATTAAATTCCTACAGAATAGCAAAAAACATTTATAGCCCAAATTTTGAAATAACAGGAGAAAACATTTTACATAAGAAATTGATAGAAATAATACCATGCCAGATACTTGACACATTTGCGCAAGTTCACTGCAAAACCCACGCGCGACACTCTCTTGCACACCCCGTGAAAAATTAATACAAGCCCACCGGCTGACGGTCATTCCATTAATCATTTTCTGCATTACAAGAAGAGCCGGCAGCCAAAGTATCAGTAATGTAGATTGTAATATAATTTCAGGGGTGATAATATAGATTGTACTATAATTTCCAGGGTGATTAGGTTATATATGTTGAATTGTAATCATTTATTGAATCTGAAAATTACCATTATGGTTCAATGGGCAATTTGACACTCATTTACATACAAAAATAGAGTTATTACATTTATAAAATCAGAAAGGTAACCTAGAAAAAGATGAACAATTTGAGAAACAAGATAGCAATTGATATCTGTGGTACCTTGTTCATCATATTCCACTGACCAACTTGAGGCAAACAATTCTTTTCTTTTCCGGTTTCATGATACTTCAGCTGCAGGTAAGGCCGTGAGATGGTCAACATATATTTTCTAAACTCCCACGAAAAATGAGAATATGCATTGAATCAAACATTTCAAAGGAAAAAGCATAAAGAGGAGAAGCATTACCCAAGGCGCAGGAAGAATTCGAGCTTCGACCGAAGCTAGTTTTTCACTGATTTTGATTCCAAACTCCTTCGCGTAAGGATCTTGGTCATAAGCATTGTGTTGAACAGTCTGCTCGCGTTTTAATGTCAAAAAGAAAGTTACATTTTATTAGCATTATGGCATGATAAACTTCATATATTGTTTCATATATATACTTTAACCATCATTTCCCAAGTTGGTCATACATCAAACTATCAGCCAGTTTCACTATTTCGTACTCCTGAAAACCCCCACTGATTACAGAAATTCTGTATTTCCTTGGGAAGAAAGCAAAGGAGAGAACAAACAACTTAAGCATGTTATAATTTTCGCTCTGGAAAATTTGGAGTAGCAATTAAAATATAAAGGATCACCTGCAGAATGTCATTTTCACGATCCCTAGGTCTTTGACATGTAACCTTTAAGAGAGCAGTAATTTGCTTCTCATTCAACCTTTTTGTATACCGTTGCCCCTCAACAATTTTGCAGGCCTGCAAAAGTTTATGAAAAAGAAATTGTAATTAAAAAATAATCCTTGGGAGGGTGAGCTTTTTGTACCGAAAATTACTCACCTCCATGGGTAAATAGTTTGCCTTCTTCTGATTACCAACTTGAAGGCAAGGAAGATGCCCGTGTTGAATGGTGAACCCATACATCTCCTGGAAGTATTCAATTACGGACTTCATGGTCAAGTTCTCATCAACAGGAAACCTGAACAAAGATCGCATTAGCATATAAAACAATAGTGCAAGGCGATCAAGAATACTCTGAGAAAGATAAGGCACCATGCAACTTTCTGGCTTTACTCGAAGGAGGGAGGATCCTCAGAAAACAAAAGAACTAATATGAAAATGGGGAAATATACACATCCTTCTAGTAATACAAGAACCAATAAACCTGACAGAAAACCTAAGCTAGAGCTACTTCAAACTTACACTAGTTCTCTTGTAGGTTGAGATGTCAATCCTGAAACTCGATACTTTCTTCGAACACTCCCTCTGTGTGTAACTTCAACTTTCACACCTCTAAGAGCCTTTTTAATCTGGTAGACATTTAAATTTGCGCTCTAGATTAAATTCGATAATATGGGAACAGAAACATATCACACCAAAAATTTAAGAATCAAATACCTTTACACGATCAGCATCAGACAATGTCCTAGACAATACATCTTTGCCTAGAAGCTGCGCTACAAACTCTATTACAGGGAGAGGCTCAATAAATGCAGCTGAAGCCATATCTGCAAGATTTGACAAAAGAGAAACAATATGTGAGTGATCATTTGAGACAAACCATAAGTGATTTCCTTTCGAAATTCAAGTAACCTTAAATAACTAACCAATATTGAGGGAAAGACCCATTTGGGTAGGTCTTATACTTTGATAAAAGCCGCACCATGATTCCAACCCTTCACCAAGCCGTTGTGGTGTTCTGATATCAGGTGAAAAGAAGGATCTCCCGATGGGGCAGTACCTTCACCATATGAAGACCCGGTGAGATGAATAATAAAAACAATCTCAGCGGCCGCATAACGTAGCGCAGTTACAGATTGATACCTCTTGTTCGAGAGCTCTCTTAATACAATGTCAAGAATTTGGAGCGCTTCTTGTGGAGCATCAGCACACTTACCGACCAGAAACTGACCCAGATGATGCATGTTTGCTCGTGCAACAAATTTAATCACCACATTATATACTCTTTCTCTTCTGAAATATTAGGTAATCCGAAATTAGTTCCATTTTTTGATTATAACAACAAAGTCCAATTACTCGTCACATATTCAAAGTATAGAAAACAAAACAAGAGCCTTGGAAATTTCTTAGACTTCGTTATTTCCCGTTCGTGTTTAGATATTATTATAGTCCAAATAAGAATTATAAGTCTACACTGAAACGGAAGGAAAATAGGAGGCGATGTCCTTACGTTCGGCCAACGATTCCATCCTGTTCATCAACAAGCTTAATATTGAACTCCTTCCAAGCAAAGGGCAGCTCACCAGCAGTGTACAGACTCTTCCTACCATCATAAGCAGGCAGTCTCATTCCTAAGTCAGATTCCTTGTACAACCTCACCAGTTCTGCCATGATAGCTCTGTTCACAGCTGTCGATGCAACTTCGGGAGTTATTCTAACCTGCAAGAGTCAGATCGCCGATGGGGAAAAGACAACCCGACATTAAGAACATGATTTAAGTCCAAGTTCAAATCTCATAAATGCCATTAGAAGAAAAGGAGGGTGAAAACAGTTTTTTTTTTCTTTTCAATTTTCTTCTACAATGCAACAGAAATTATGAAAAGAAAAAACACCATCAACATATTGAAGGTCAGATTAAAGGGTCCAATTTTTATTGCACAGCAGAAACATCAATTTAATTTTTACTACAGACCTTTAACAGATAGTTTTGTTGTGGGTAAAAAAAAAAAAAAAAATCAAAGAAAAGAGGTTACATCATAATGGTTCAAGTCCTTCTCTGGTAACTCTGCAAAGAAATGGTTGGCCTTCACAACACACTTGATCCCAACTTGTCCATAACCAGGCCGAGGAGCAAAGCTCAATGACTTGCTTGAAGTCGGAAACCCCATCTCCATGGAAACTGAGTTGCCGCCATTTTCCACATACCCATTTGGAGCATTCGCTTCAGAAGCAGCACCACCCAAGCTTGGTGAGGCAGGCAGACGAGCCACCGCGCAGTGCCTCGAACTAGGCCTCATACAAACATCGCCTTGATCAGACTTCCGACCACCTCTGCCCCTTCTTCTTCCTCTGTTTTTTGTTGGGGGTGAAGTTTGGTTATGGGGTTTGGCTTTTTGGGATTCCTGGGGTGGTGGACCTTTGCCATTTTGGGCAGTTTTCGGTGCATTCTGAACCGGGTTCACTGGGTTCTGCAAGTGGGGTTTGATCACAAGGTGTTGCTCCGAGCTCTCTTTCTTTCGTATAGGCATGTTTGCAGAAGCAATCGTTCAAAACGATGAAGCTTTCGCCAGATTGCACAGAAACACAATGCTTTACTTCCCTTCTAGTTTTTCACTCAATTTCCAAAAGATTTAAACACTAATTCCACTGGAGAGACAAAAAAAAAAAACAAAAAAAAATACACAGGAAAAATGGCATGTCAGATCAAAAGGACATAAATTTCCAAAACTATGAATAAATGGTAAAAGAAAAAATATATTATTTCAATTTCATCAGTCTTATACACAAGATAAAACAGTAGGGGTAAATAAACGACAAGCATGCAAAAAACTGGAACTTCAACTATTCAACTCTGTTTCTGCATACTTTGACATCTTAGAATTTACACGTACATACAAAACTGAATACCAAAACCCAGAAATCTGTAAGAGCTACAGCTTCGTCTGACTTGTAATTTGCAGAGTTTTTCAGTAAATACAAACAGTAATAAAAGAACAAATTAAATAAACAACCCCAAAGAAACTCCAAGCAGAAAAACAAATTAAAATCATAAATGCAGAGACAAAACAGACTATTACCCAAAACCCCAAGTGTTCCTCACAGATGCTTCTATGAGCAGTCCAACGGCCATGAAATCTCTTGAGACAAATAAAAAATAATAATAATAATATTATTATTATTATGGTGAACAGAAACCTGAAAAATGGAAATACCCAGGAGGCAAAACCAGTGTCTTGAGCCTGTCTGGTCCTCAAAACTGAAATTTTGTCAAACTATCACATAACAAGGAATAAGACCAGGCAGATAAAAACACAAGATAAAACATTTACACACACACACACACACACACATATTGAAAGGAAATATAAAAAAAGTAATATTAAATTTGTCTAGGAAGATTTGAGACCTTGTGAGTTGTGACCGCTCAAAGAAGTAGAATAAAACAGTGAGAACAAAACAAAAATCAAGAACATATCCAAGGGGAAGGAATAAACATTGAAAAGGGCAGTAAAATCACTATCCAAATTAATGCCACACACAGAGATTAAACAAAATAAATAAATAAAAAATGAGTCCATTAAATACACCCACGAAGTCCAAGAGAAACCCAAAAGAAACAAAGCTGGAGACTACTTACCAACAGCCAACCAGCCATTTAAACTCACTGAGCAGCAGCAAGCAATTAACTCACTGAGTCACTCGAGAAACAACTAAAGCAGTGATCTTTGGATTGAAAACAAAAAATAAATAAAAACTGGGGGTTTGAAAGGTTTAAGCATGGGATGGAAGGGGGACCAAAAGGGGAGAGATTTAAAAGATGAGTTGTGTGGGGGATTCAGATTCAGGGGGAGAGAGAGTTTAGAGAGAGAAAGAAGGAGTTTTTAGAGTGAGAGAGAGATGGGGAGAGATAGAAGGATGATGATGAATCTTTTATACACGCATGCAAGTGCTTTTGGTATTTTCCTTATCACGTGTAAAAGGCTTATTAGGACCTGCCCTCTTTCTGCTTTTAAATATGGCTTCTTCCTCTCTCTCTCCAAATTCTAACAAAGAAAAACCCACATCTCTCTCCTCTCTCTCTTCAGTTTGGGTTGTGTTCTGAACCAACAGCCAAAGACCATTTATTATTAAAAAAAATAAAAAAAAAATTCCAGAAGAGAGAGGTGGAGGGAAATTGGATGGAAGGAAATGGGTATGCGTCCAAAAGAGCACTTGGTTTTTATAAAAGCAATCACAGGCTCGAAGAAGAATAATCCGAACTTGCAGTCCTCTATTCTCCTCCTCTCTCTTCTCAGTTCCCAGTACCCACCGTCTAGTCCCTATTTCATATTTTCTGAAAACACCCCACAATTTCTTTCTTTTTATTTATTAATCTCCTTTTAGTCTTTTGATCTTCATTTTATATACATATTTTTGTACATGTAATCTTTTATTTATGTATACGCAACCAAAACCACAACTTCCCACTGCATTTGCTTTGCTTTGCTTGCTAAAAGACTACATAAAATAAAGCCTGTAACGCTCCATTCTATGTATATATATCTATGGTGATGAGATGAGACGGGCCTTGGGTCCACCCAGTTTCCTTCTTTTTCCTGCTTTTTCTGCTTTTCCTGCATTTACCATATTTATGTGTTAGATTTTGATTTTACACTATTATCTTGATATATAATTTCATATGTATCTTAAATTTTGTATCACTTAATTGCGTCCCCAATAAAGTAGGCAAATAGATGGTTAAACCCATTTTAATGAGTCATGTCAGCAAAGACATGCTCTAATGGTTCAGTCAAATTTGGACAATGTTACCGACTTTCCACATTGATACTGTATTTTGTAAAGAGAACTATTATTAACATTCTAAAAATCTCATTCTACGTTTCTTACAAATGTATGTTTATTTCTAATTATAGAAAGTTTGGAATACCAAACGAGATTTTTGGAGTGCTAATAGCAATTCCCTTTTGTAAATTATATGACGTTGTTGTTGGTGATTAAATTATTACTTAAGTGCTGATTAACATGCTATTTCGTGACATATGATTTACAAAATTAAAAAATTGATCTACTTAGCATTACCTTTTTATTTATAATAAACTATTTCATATCAGACAAACATAAAAAATAAAAGTAGATGTTAAAGATAAAATAAAATTTTGCATACTTAGTTTGCCTATTTTATTGAAGCGACATTTTAATAAGACAATTAGGTAGGCAAGTTGTAATTCCAATTACTATGGGTACAATTTTGCCTATTTTGTTTGCTTACTTCATTAAAAATAGTTTAATATTAGTACGAATAGGTATTAAAAAAAAAAAAAAAAAAAAAAAAGAGGACAATTGGTGGCTTATCCACCTTTTCTAGGGGCCTATCCACCTCTTCTCTTCTCGTGGCCAAGAAGTCTTACAAACCACAAGTCTGACTTCCATATCAATAGTGGGATTCGAACTCAAAACCTTCAGTTTTTAGTTTGAAAGAAACCTCGCAATTAACATTTTACCACTGAACTACTAGCTCGTGATTCATAATAGGTAGTTGTGTTATATATATATAAGCTGTTCTCATTAAACAAAATTTTCTTTCTTTTATTTTTCTCTTTACTAGAAAGTGTGATCTGATTTGGCAACAACCGTTACATTTAGGCGCCTGCCATATGTTCCCTATCAACCTATTCACTGCTCATGTATAAAGCATGATCTTGCACTCTACGTAATTTTAAATGCATGTAAAGTATAAAGCACATCAATTCCGAAAAAAGAAAGTTTCAGGCGTTATTGGCATTTTCCAGTAATTTTCTCCGAATCAACTTTAAGGTATTATGTCAATCTTTACAAATTTTTCTGTAAGTGATAGATTATCTTGATTAATAAAGTTTTTAATTTAAAGCATCTTGAATTCAGACGGTTTTCGTTCTAATAATAATAACTGAAGACAACTTTTATTAAATAATTTGCAATAATAAAGTTAAAACTTCCAAAAAACAACCAAAACACCAAGTTTAAAACAACAACAAAGCCAACAAGCCATTGATTTGCGAAAACCCCTTCCTCTCTTCTTCCGAAAGCACAAAAAACCCGATTCCCTTTGTCACCAACTCTTATTTTTGGATGGGGGTCATTTGCAACCCCGTTTCAGCCTTATTTGTGAGGAGCTCTATATAAGGCTGGAAAAATGGTGGATATAGCTCATTTTAGAGCTCCGAGAAATCTTTGGGGCTTTATAAAAGAATCTCTCCCAATGAGGGGATATATCTTTCGGGCTCTATATGGAGCTATATATATTTATTTATGTAGTTATTTGATTAAGCGATGATTTATTTGTGTGTTAACTTTTCTTAAGTTGATTTTTGGATGTGCTATCTTAAATTTTTTTTATGAACCCTTTAACCTAAAAAGTTCAAATTGTGACAAAGTTAGATTTTATCACTTATAAATCGTTTGTTGGATTATATTCCCTTATCTCAATCTCATTCGTTAAAAGAAATAAACCCCCACTTCACCCTCTGAAATAATTTGATTTTCACGTATAACACAAAAAATTACCTAGCACCAATTGGTAAATTAGTATCATACAATTTTGAAAAAAAATTATTTGAAAATTTCACCGATCAATGCCCATGAATGTTATATCAATTTGAAATTTTAATTCTTATGAAATTTAAAACAATCATTAATTAGCCAAATTGCAAGAAAAATAAGTAAGAAAAAAGAAATAAAAATAATAATAAAAAGGAGAGTATAAGTGTATTTGCAAGTGGAGGGAGAGTGATATAATTTTGTTCACATGGGTTTCTACTTTTTTTTGTGGGACCCACTGTTTTTTAGGGTTAGATGTAGTCCGATTTTATGCTACCCAAGAAAGGAAGTTGCTAGCCCTAGTGGTGGATCTAGTCCTATTTTTCGGCTCATTGGAGATGAAATTTCTCGCTAATGCTAGAAATGTTGTAGGCTGATGGAGGATAAAGCCCCCATTGAGGATGCTCTTACCAATCCCAACTTCTCCTATCTCTCTCTTACCATTTTACCTTCTGTGTTTTTTATTTGGCCCTTGTTTTTTATTTCCTTAAGCTTTTCTCTCAATTTCTCTAAACTTGTCTCAGATCTAGGCTTTCATGTCTTTCTCTTGCTCAAATGTTGTTTTCTGTCGCGAGTCTTCAACCACCATTCCCTGCTACTCGGCTTAGGTGTTTCTTCTTAGCTGCCCACTTTCGTGTTGGGTAGCTATTAAAATGTTCTTAGCATTATTTGGTTGGAATATGAGAGTGTTTTTTGTGCGGGTGGCTTGCTCACCCCTGTTTTTCATTCATCTGGTCGTTTCGTGGGTACTTCTTCGTGATGATGGTGGCAGCTTTGTGATGGGGGCACAACTTTTTGGTGGAGGCACACTGTGTTCGAGATCTAGGTTTTGGGTTAGCTTCTTTCGAGATCTAGGTCTTCAAAACACACCTCCACACCCCCACCCCCACCCCCACCAAAAAACCAGATTGTTGACATATTATGAGAGCAAACATTCAAAACCCACCTCCACCGCGAGGAAATAATTAGTCACATGTCGCAAATGATATCTTGAAGGATTTACAAGGCCAAGCAGAACAACATAAGGAAATGACCTAGCATGAGTTTACTTTTAGAGTAACTTCTTTCCAAGTCTAAGTACCAATTTGGTACTGCTGAAATTTATATATATATATAAAATAAAAAAATAATAAAAAATAAAAGTGGATACCAAAAAAAAATTTGGGCCTTGTTAGTGGTTGGTAACACCCTATAACTAGTTTTTCACTATTTTAGAAAAAATAAAAAAGGAAAAACAAAAAACTCCATCACAGACAATTACTATGATGCGCCATTAGTAGCCCTACAATTAGGAAACCTTGATCACTCATATTATTCCAATCCTTATGTCAAATCGGTTAATCGACATAATGAGTTGATATTAAGTTTCAAATATGCCTAGTAGACTATTGGTAACGACATAAAAGATTTAAGTCAGAGATCAAAAGGTCATATTTTTTTATATGTCAGTGTAACTCGAGTATCAAAGAGTCTTTGACTTGCATCGTAATAGCACGCAGAACTCGGTTGCTCCATTTTTCCTAATTTTGGAGCAAGCAAGTTCAAGAATTTGGTATTTATATCTATCCGATAATCAAAGACTTTACAAATGTGAATAATATACATCTACGATCAAGGATCTTTATATACAAAAAGAAGATGCAAATGCAAAACAAGAAAAGGAAGGGTGACCCAAATACACCCATGGGTTTCAACTTTGAATCATGACTACCAAGTGCACGGGCAGCCAGGTTCGTGGTTTTGAGTCTTTGATGTGTTGGGGATACATGGTGGTGTTGGATTTGTGGGGCAGCAGAAAAAGGGCAAAACAGAGGAGCAATGATTGTCTATGATGGTATCCTGGACTTGGAGGAGAGTTGGGTCCCAAACTCTAGTAATATCATATCATGCATGATGGTGATGATGGAAAATCACCAACTCACTCATTAATCATTATATTTTGGATGGTTGGGTTTGGTTATTATTAATATCATTACCTGTTGACCTAAACCTAGAAAGATTGATCATCATACTCTCACGGTCTCCCCCAAATCCATTCGGCTTTGCTTACGAGATGAACATCATACTAAATGGTCGAGTGGATGACATCTCTTTTCAAAACGTACCTTAAACTAGATTCATCGTAAATCCACGTACTTGATTTCTGTCTCTTCTTTCCATTTTATGTTTATGTACGACAACTTTTAATTTTTCCAAACCAAAATCACTTTAAAGTATAAAGCGTGAATCCAAACCAAGAAAATGCTTGAGAATCAAACTTGTTGTGAGTCTGCAAGTGTGCAGTGGTGGATTTGTGAATCTAATTTCGTGGGATCTCAATATAAAGAATTCAAAAACTTTCAAACAGATATAATGTGTAGCTCACATAATTTTTAAATGAGACATTTTAAAAACTTTTAGCTTGCAAAATCTAGTGGGCTTGTAGTCAATCAGTTGCTTATCCTTGTTGTGTGCATGTCGATAAATTCT